ACGTATCTGCCATAAGGGGATGTGGCGATGGCACAACAATAAATATTTTGGGGTGTCAGTGATTTGGGGGGGTCAGAACCCAACTGAGAGCTTGAATTCATCATTGATTTCAGTGATTTTTGGGGGGTCAGAACAATGAATATTTGGAGGTGTCAGTGATTTTGGGGGGCCAGAACAATAAATATTTTGGGGGTGTCAGTGATTTGGGGGAGGTCAGACCAATGCATTTATGGGGTATCAGTGATTTTTGGGGGGTCAGAACAATGAATATTTGGAGGTGTCAGTGATTTTGGGGGGCCAGAACAATAAATATTTTGGGGGTGTCAGTGATTTGGGGGAGGTCAGACCAATGCATTTATGGGGTATCAGTGATTTTTGGGGGGTCAGAACAATGAATATTTTGGGGGTGTCAGTGATTTGGGGGGGTCAGAACCCAACTGAGAGGTTGAATTCATCATTGATTTCAGTGATTTGGGGGGGTCAGAACAATGAATTTATTGGGGTATCAGTGATTTTGGGGGGTCAGACCAATGCATTTATGGGGGTGCCAGTGATTTTTGGGGGGTCAGAACAATAAATATTTGGGGGTGTCAGTGATTTGGGGGGGCCAGAACAATGAATATTTGGGGTGTCAGTGATTTGGGAGGGTCAGAACCCAACTGAGAGGTTGAATTCATTGGGGTGTCAGTGATTTTTGGGGGGCCAGAACAATGAATATTTGGGGTATCAGTGATTTTGGGGGGCCAGACCAATGCATTTATGGGGGTGTCAGTGATTTTTGGGGGGTCAGACCAATGAATTTATGGTGTATCAGTGATTTTTTGGGGCCCAGAACCCCCAAACCCCCTCCCCCTCCCCTCTCACCCGCGCCCTTCCCTCCCTGGAGCTTCCCGGGGGTCTCCCCCCGCTGAACCCCCTCCTCTCCCCCGCGGCAGTACGTGGCCTTCGCCTCTCTCTTCTTCATCCTCATCTCCATCACCACCTTCTGCCTGGAGACGCACGAGGCCTTCAACCGCGTCATCAACAAGACCGAGACGGTGACCACGGGCAACGGGACGGGCACGCAGGTGGCCGTGGAGGTGGAGACCGAGCCCTTCCTCACCTACGTGGAGGGCCTGTGCGTGGTGTGGTTCACCTTCGAGTTCCTCATGCGCGTCAGCTTCTGCCCGGACAAGCGCGACTTCGTCAAGAGCAGCCTCAACATCATCGACTTCGTGGCCATCCTGCCCTTCTACCTGGAGGTGGGGCTGCGCGGCCTCTCCTCCAAGGCGGCCAAGGACGTGCTGGGCTTCCTGCGCGTCGTCCGCTTCGTCCGCATCCTGCGCATCTTCAAGCTGACGCGGCACTTCGTGGGGCTGCGCGTGCTGGGCCACACGCTGCGCGCCAGCACCAACGAGTTCCTGCTGCTCGTCATCTTCCTCGCCCTGGGCGTGCTCATCTTCGCCACCATGATCTACTACGCCGAGCGCATCGGCGCTGACCCCGACGACGTCACCGGCTCGCGCCACACCTACTTCAAGAACATCCCCATCGGCTTCTGGTGGGCCGTGGTGACCATGACCACGCTGGGCTACGGCGACATGTACCCCATGACGTGGTCGGGCATGCTGGTGGGCGCCCTGTGCGCGCTGGCCGGCGTGCTCACCATCGCCATGCCCGTGCCCGTCATCGTCAACAACTTCGGCATGTACTACTCGCTGGCCATGGCCAAGCAGAAGCTGCCCAAGAAGAAGAACAAACACATCCCCCGGCCCCCCCAGCCCGGCTCTCCCGGTTACGGCTCCTCTCCGGGATCGTCGGGGCCCAACGCCCCCGGCAGCCCCCGGGGCGCGCGGCGCCCGCCCGCCTGCCCGCTGGCCCAGGAGGAGGTGGTGGAGATCAACCGGGCCGGTGAGTGCCGGCCCCGAAACCGGG